TTTGATACATTTCGGCCTTATATTATATTTCTATGCATATTAATCTTGGAAATTTAATAATTTATTACTATTATACCTTTTATTCATTATTTAAATATTACTTGAATATATTTCAAGAATATCGATTTGTAGAATGAGCGTGAAAAGCTTCACTTGATCGAATGATGTGATCCGATACGACATTTTAACAAATTGTGAACTTGAAATCAATCAACTTTATTTTGTTAATTTAAATCAAACAATGCCATGCATGTTTTTCTAACGGATCATATTTTAACTATATATTCAATTCATGATTTCCACTATTTACGACAACGTGTAAACGACACAGTACTAATTTTGGGCGCTGTGGGGTACTAATCCTTCCCCACGCATAACCGACTCCCAAACCCGTTTTAATCGAATCTTTGGTAAACGCAGACCAATTTTGTCTTAAAAAACGAGTTTTCTTAGAATTGTTTTTTTAAAAGACGTTTTTAGGTATTCGACCTACCTAACCCAAAGGTTGATGGCGACTCTATCCAATTTAATTCAAACTCACCAAATTTTTCAAAATTAAAGTTTAACCGTTTTTAAACAATAAACAATTGTTCCACCTAAAAAATGGTTATGATAGTGAATTTTGGATGAGCATCATTAGAAAGATGTATGTCAAGCCATTGCAGGAGTCTATGCTTAATTCTCTGAGATTTGTTGCAAACTGAACGTGACTCATCCATATATCGCGTAGCAAAATCATATTGGAGATGATCAGGCGCTCCAAATTTGACATGGAATACCTTGAAGCTGAAACAGGTCCTTCAAATTTGGCATTTGTTCCAATGGGACCTTCGTCATGTTGTGCGAATTGGACCTTAAATCTAATATCCTTGTAAAATTAAGAGAAATGGTTACTCTTTTATAATATTTTAGTATCACTTAAATCTTATATTTAATTTTTTTTCTTTCAAAATCAAGTGAAAATAATTATTTATAAATTTGCTTAGATAACACTAATTATAATTAACATAAAAAGAACAAAGATGAAGTATTTAAAAAACTTTGAACGGTGATGTTTGATGACGACACTGATAAGCTTGGTCCTGCATTCGAGTCTTTTGGCATCGAGCAGGACTTGAGCCTTCTGAAACTCTTGAGAAAGTTCGAAGCAAGCAACTCACTTCAGTAATTGTAATATAGTTGAATGCTATAATTTTGATTAAAATCCACCAGTAAAGGTCGGACTAGGGATGGGGGTATGCGGTGTAAGGGAATTAAGAAGAAAAGCATATTACAGAATGGTAAATTGTAAATTTGTTCCTAAACTGCCTTTAGATTTATAAAAAATCCATAATTAAATTTTATCTAAAGTTTAAAAATTAAAACAAAAATTAAACCATTTTATTAACTCACGTCATCAAACCGTTAAACCTTTAACTGCCGTTTAGGACAAGTGACGACATATATTATTATTTTTTAATCTAGTGACCGTATGTTTATAAAAACAAAATGACCATTTGTGTAATTTGCTCTTGCTGGGGGAATTCCATTTTCTTCTCGAAAGGTAGACCTTGTGATTATGGTGATGCCAAAATGTCATCAATGGAAATTATCTGCTCCCACTTCTCACAGTCCCTTATTACTAGAGTGTTCAAATGGGGTAAATTTTGGATGAGCATCATTGGAAAGATGTACAGAATAACACTGATAGTTTGAATATTAGTATAGAATACTTTAAAATTTAGTGACCAATTTAGAATGGAGACATAGTTTGAGATTAATATAGAATATTTTAAATTTTAATGATTAGTTTAGAAAAAAATCATAGTTTGGACATCACGTGCAATTATCTCTATGAAAATACAAATATTTGACCCTTTTTCAGTCCCCATCCAAACCGACCATTTATGAAAGGCTTAATATCAAAATAAGTAACCAAATTATATCTTTATTCTCTAATAAGTGTCTAAACTATTTTTTAACTCGTCCCGGTACTTAATATTTTCTCCGTTACCATCTTACGTGTTTAACGTTTTCTCAGTTATCATTTTAAGTGCCAAGGCGTTAACCGCCGTTAAAAAAAATCCGTTAAGTAAAACATGACATATTCTGATAATTTTGAGAATTTTATTTTTTTTAAAATAGTTTAGGCACTTATTTGAAAAAAATGATATAATTTAGACACTTATTTTGATATTAAGCCAAAAAAACCCACGTGTTCTCCCCTCCCCTTCTCCCTCCCCGTCTTCTATTTTCTCCCTTCCCCTGCAACCAAATGCCACAGCCGAAGGCCGACTGTCAATGCCAAAACTTTGGATTTAGAACCAAAATCCCTTAATGCTACCTCCATCAATTTCCACAATAAGCATTCAATTTATCAAAATCTTTAATAAAAAAAAGCTACAAATCCTAAAACAAAATCTTTCATTTACATCATTTTTGGGTGTTCGATCGGTTACGATAGTATGACAGTTTTGATTGTGGGTTGTTGGCTAGTTTCACGTCGTTAGTTGTTCAGTCGATTACGGTGTTGGTGGTGGTCGGTGGTGATAAAGAGATTAAAATTAAAGTTTTAAAAGTTGGAGATCTTTTTTAAGATTTGAAAAAAATAGTTTTTTTCCAAAAACGAAGATTATATTTTTATTTTAAATAAAATTTTCAAAATTAGCATAACGTGACATGTGTCACTTAACGAGATTTTTAACGGCGGTTAACGTCCGGGCACTTAAAATAATAATGGAGAAAACATTAGTAGGCCTGTAAATGAACTGAACGTTCAGCGAACCGTTCATGAACCGTGCGGCGGGAAGTTCGTTTATGTGCGTTTATTTATTAAATGAACGAACATGAACAATATTTTGTGTTTGTTTAATTAAATGAACGAACACGAACATATGTCTCGTTCGTTCATTTACGTTCGTGAACGTTCGGTTATGTTCGTTCGGTTATATTCGTTCATTTATGTTTAATCAAATCTTCTTAAATCAATTTTGATGACCAATTTGCAAGTATCTTAAAAATATTAATTAATCTTATATTATGATGATCAACTCCATAATTAACCCAATTTAATTTGGAGATTAAATCCAATATGTTAATCCGTGAGGCACCTCGCACCTATATTCATTTTCTCCCTTTTTTCTCAAACCCTAGTGTTCACTGGAGAGTGGAGACGATCAGTGAAAGCTTCAAAACAAGTTATATTATAGTGCAATATGAAGTTTTACAGGTCTGTTTTCATCTCTTTCTCTGTTTTATTTAGCTTAATAGTTTATATGTAAAGTTATTGTGGGTATATTCACATCTAAAACTCAAGAAAACATCATACTTCTTTCTAGAAATAGATGGGAAGATAAAGGTAACAATCGGAAGTATATGAGCATCAGTAAAGAGAAAAATATATAGAATTTTCCAGAAAACAAAACAAATGTTTCTATACAATTTCTGAAAAAGAGTGTAATAGCAGAAGTAATGGGTTTTCCAGGAAGAACCCATTAATGAGTAGAAAATACACATTGACAATGAACTTTTGTTTTCATAGTTCTTGCGTGACCTTTAGTTGTGGAGTAGACTTTAAATAAGTTAAAATTTTGAATGGTGGTTTAGCAATAATATCAGTTAGATATATAGCATCGGAGGGATTTCAGATCTATGTTATTGCCTTGTAGTCCAATTTGTACCGTTCGAAATCTTCATGCTGTTAAATTTTCTATTCTGCCAATAGAAATGACAATTATTAACAAATCTCACTAAAGTCTGACATTGATGTCACAAAACTTTTAGCCGGCAAATTTATTAGAATAACGTAGTGGAAAATGATTGTTCATATGTAATCATGGACCACTAAGATAAATGTTATAGTGTTAAATTAAAATCGTGTGAATCATTTAATATCTTTAAAAGATCGATCGAAATATCTGATATCTTCAAACATTTCATCACTGCTAACCAGCTCTTACGTTATTTATCACTGTAGATTTGGTTGATTTGCATTGTCGACTATTTTTCATGAAAGAACAATGGAAGGTAGGGTATCCAACGTTTATGTTCGTTTATGTTCGTGTTTATTTATGTTCGTGTTCGTTTATGTTCATATTCGTTTATGTTCGTTTATTTATTAAATGAACGAACATGAACAACCTATATTCCTAAATGAACGAACATTAACAAAAAAAAATTTTGTTCGTTTATGTTCGTGTTCGTTTATTTATTAAATGAACTAATATGAACATACCTCCGTTCGTGTGCGTTCGGTTCGTTTACAGGCCTAAACATTAGGCACCTAAAATGGTAACGGAGAAAACATTAAGCACTGATATGAATCAAAAAATAATTTAGAAATCTATTTAAGAATAAGAATATAATTTATACACTTATTTTAGTATTAAACCTTTACGAAAAACCAACGTGAAAAGGGCAAAAAAAGAAGACTTTCATGGATCAAAAGTAGAACAACAAAAAGCACCAAACCCTTTGGCTTGACAGCATTGCATTTACTTTCATCAAGAACAAATGGATAATACATCCTATTGGCATAAAATGGAAATTCCCAACTCCCCACATAAATAGTGAAAGGACAGATGTTGCAAAACTCATGGTGACAGCACACACTTTCACATGATCTTAGCTTCTCTTCCCAGTTTGGCTAAACCCAGTTTTATTTATTATATTTGCTGCTTTTTCCATTGATTGGTTAGAATTTCGTACAAAGGGACGATGATGACTAAACCAAAAAAGTGAACCCTAATATCTGTTTCCACGCATGATTCAAGCGAGATTCGGACACGCGTTGTTATCTAAGTGACTGCCACATATGATTGTGACGTGGCCATTCAAAATTCTTTAGAAGAGTGAAGATGTTTGACATGCAACAAAGTTGAATGTCAAAGAAAAACACAAGAAAGTGATGAACATTTAACTTTTTCATTTGTCTGTTTCACTTTGATTTCTGGGTCCAACTGGTACTCCATTACTAGAGTCCTTCAAGCTTCGTTTCTGGCAACTGGCAAGTTCATCTACTTCACATTTTTCACTGTGCCATGTTCCAATTTGTCGTCTTTTAACAATGATTGACAATTACTGTGTAAGTTGCTAGCCAGCTAGCTCTTTAGGGAGATCATGTTGTTGGTAAGAATGAAATTGCAGAGTTTAACTAAATTTTTTAGCCATTTGCCATTTTTATCTTCATTTTTTGATGTGTTTCCTTCTTCATGCACCTTAGTTGCTGTCAATGGTGATTTGAACCTTCAATTTTCAAGTTTGTTGCAGAGATAAAAATGGCAAATGATCTGGGAATAGCCTTTTACATCACCATATGCTGCGTAGTCTTCATCATATCGAAGATCGTTCTTATGATCCTCCTGTACAAGCGATGGAAAAGAAATAACGCTATTCATGAGCAAGGCTTCTCAGGTGGGAAGATGGTGATGTTCAGATCACCATTGTTGCAGTCACTAACATCTGATGTGTTCTTAAAGTGCATATTGAAATTAACCAACAAAGACATCATCGGCTCCGGCGGGTACGGTACGGTTTACAGGTTAACGATAAACGAGACCATGTCCTTTGCTGTCAAAAGGCTTAACAGAGGAACTGCAGATAGAGATACAGGATTCGAGAGAGAATTGGAAGCCATGGCCGATATCAAGCACCGCAACATCGTAACTCTCCACGGATACTACACCAATCCTCACCACAATCTTCTTATCTATGAGCTCATGCCTAATGGAAGTCTGGATTCTGTTCTTCGTGGTATGCACACACTATTTCTTCACTTCTTATGGGGCTTAATATGATGATAATGGCGCATTAAACCGTGCTGCAGGTAAATCAATGGACAATAAGGTTTTGGATTGGCCAACAAGGTCTAAAATAGCACTAGGTGCTGCAAGAGGAATAGCATATCTTCACCATGATTGTATCCCTCATATAATCCATAGGGATATAAAATCAAGCAACATACTACTGGACCAGAACATGGAGGCTCGGGTCTCCGATTTCGGGCTAGCCACATTGATGGAACCAGACAAGACTCATGTTTCAACATTTGTTGCCGGAACCTTTGGATATTTAGCCCCAGGTTCTTGACAAAAAAACATTTGCAGACATCCTTCTCATCTTATCTGTTTAATTGCTTGATAATTATATCAAAACTGCCTCTATTTTTCTGCAGAATATTTCGATACCGGAAGAGCAACAGCAAAAGGTGATGTTTATAGTTTCGGAGTTGTTTTGCTTGAACTTTTAACCGGAAAGAAACCGATGGATGAAGCATTTTTTGAGGAAGGAACAAAGCTTGTAACATGGGTAACTTTTTTTTTCTAGTTTCATCAACTTTTAGTTCAACGATTAACATAAAAAAAGGCGATCGGAGACCAAACCGGACGGTTTCTTCGATTCCAATCCGAGGGCTGATCAATGTGCAAATACTGAAACAGGTAAAGGGAGTTGTTGAAGAAAGGAAGCAAGAATATGTGGTTGACAGTAACTTAGGTTGTTGTCCTGGTGATGAGATCAAAATTATATTCAATATAGCATTGATGTGCCTTCAAACTGATCCCTCCAAGAGACCAACAATGGCTGAGGTTGTCAAAATGTTGGAGCAGATCAAAGTCTGAGAAATCTGTAACTGATTCTTAATGTTGCTGTCATAGATTACTCATCATTTTTTATCCTTTCTTTCCCATGTTTTTGATTGAATGATCGTGAAAGAGGAAGAGGTGAAACTCGACAGTTGTTGATTACCAATCATATGAATCATCCGAGGTACTTCTAACACTATTTTTTAAAGCATGGGATATAAAATTGTTCAAGAAAATGTTTTTCAACGTATAATTATGGATAAACTACACGGTGAGAACCGAACTATGGTCATAAACTATTTTGACTATCAACTTTTGGAAACGATCAATCAGATCACCCAACTATTTAAATGGTTAAATCAAGCCATTGACCGTTAATTTTTCACAGAAGTGGTGATGTGATAGTTAATAAAATTGGTATAATTATATATTTGATCCTTAATATTTACACATTGTATCAATTTAGTCATTATTTTAATTCAATTAAATAAATTTAGTCCTCCAATCCGAAGATGTCATGTGTCGCTATATGATTGAATGGTGAATTTAATTAATTTTAATATTTTAATTAAATATTTTTTCTCATCAATCAGGTGGTGACACGTGTCACCGCTGTGCAAAGGGAAAACATTTCAGAGTTATAAGAGGGCTTGAAAGGATTCGAACAAGAGACTCCATGCTACATAATTTTAATATAAATTTATATATTATTATTTAATGAATATGTGTGAAGTAACTTTAAACACAATATATAAAACGTTGTGTGATTTTGATCCAATCAAATAGCTTGGCCTAGTGGTAAAGGCTTGCCCATAGAACCATGGGTCCTTGTTTTTAATCCCCCCAAGCCCCCTTATAGTTCTAAAATGTTTTCCCTTTAATCAGTGTCACCACCTGATTGGTATAAAAAATGATTGGTGTAAAAAACTATTTAATTAAAATATTAAAATTAATTAAATTCACTCTCTAATCATACGGTGGCACCTTCAGATTATATGATTATTTTTATTTAATCGAATTAAAATAGTGACTAAATTGATATAAATATGTAAATATTAAAGACCAAATATATAATTATATCGATTTTATTAACTGCCACATCACCACCTCCGTTGAAGATTAACAACCAGTTGCTTAATTGAACAATTTAAATAGTTTGGTAGTTTGATTGATCATTTTCAAACGTTGGTGATCAAAATGGTTTATGACCATAGTTCGGTGGTCACCCTTATAGTTTACCCTATAATTATAAAGAAAGATATAAAAAAATAAGAGAAAATAACCTCAGTGACCAAAAATGCCTTATAATATACGATTTTAACCAACTTTTGTTGGATTTGCCAAAATGACCAACTAAATCGCAATGCGATCGATAATTCGCAACGCGATCTCCGGTATCGCAAATCAGGTTTTAGATTCGCAACGCGATTCTGACTATCGCATTACGATTTCCCAAATTCGCGTTGCGATTTTCCTGATTCGCAATGCGAATACGTAAATCGCAACGCGATTACGTAAATCGCAATGCGAATAAGTAAATCGCAATGCGAATGTGTAATTCGCAACGAGATTCTGACTATCGCAATACTGAATTTCAAATTCGCAACTCGATTTCTGAATTCGCAACAGGTTTTAATTTCGCAACACAAATGTTTTGGGTATATAACTACGCAACAGCAACAACTCATAACCTAAATCCCTAAATCGCAACTCATTCCATCTCCATCTATCACTCTCTCCGGCGACATCCGTTCCTATATCCAACGACATCCTTCCCCATCCGGTAACAGGTTTTAGTTTCGCAACTCGTTTGTTTAGTAAATTAATTTACAATAATGAAATCATCTAATGTTGATCATGTTTGGATAGATTTGTGTTTTGGAGGGTCATGGGAGAATGTTCATGGTGTTTTACTATATATGCCTTTACCCATGAATCTTCAACTAAAACTGTCATTAAAAAAGTTAACTTATGAAACTTTAATGTTACGTGTTGCAAATAAATTGAATTTAGAGCCCATAAGTGGATTTAGGCTATCTTATCAGAGAAATGGTAAAGTTTATTTGTTAACCGACAATGAAGATGTTGAACGATTCATTGCTTACATTAGTGTTTCAAGTGATGATGTTACATTGTATGTTGTTGAACCTAGAAGTAGTGAAGTTGGGTCAGTAGCGGGTAGTAATCAACTAAGTTTTTCAACCCCAGTTTATGGTGCTCAAAATTTAATGGTTTCACCACAATTTCATCACCAAGCAAATATTGTTTCACCACATTTCCAATACCAAACACAATCTCAAAACCCATAACCTTTCCCTAATCCAAATCCCAATCAACTTTCAGCACCAAATTCCAGTTTTCGTATTGACCAGTTAGACGATGATGAGCCAACAGAAAAAATTGTGAGTACTAGTCAGTATTCGAAATTTTATCTTGGTCAATACCTGAACTTTGATCTTGGTCAATACTCAGATTTTGATGATTTTTTAGAAGAAGAAACAAACTCTGCGTGTAATGATTTTGATATTGGTCAATACCCGAATTTTGATGATGAAATAGCCGTTGTCGAGGAAGATGTTGTTGATGATAATGAGGAGGAAGTTACGACTGTAAATGAACATGTTGAACATCCATTATGTAATTCATATAACACTGAAGAAGAAAAAGAAGAAGAAGAAATCCCCAAAGAAAAGTCCCCGAAGAAAATGCCACGGGAGTATAACTGGAATATGCCAGAATTACTTCAGATACCGGAAGAAGAGTTGGTAAAGATAGAAGTTGATTGTTACACAAAAATTATTTGTATCAAGAAAGATGATTGTTTTGATACAAAGGAAGACTTGAAGATAGCTTTGTATACGAAATGTGTGGAAGATGGCTATCAACTAAAAGTTAACAAATCAAGCAAAGATCGTTTCGAAATAAGGTGTATGATTGACAAAAACTGTATGTGGCGTATGATTGCAAAGAGGATAAAAGATTGCGAAATGTTTCAAGTTAGGACTTTTATTGATAAACATACATGTTCAAGAACCCAAGTTTTTCATCACCATAGACAGGCAAACAAAAAGGTGTTGGGTGATTTTCTGGCTGAGTTAATGTTTTTGAATGGTAGGGTATATCGGGGACATGAAATTATGACTGACATGAATGCTCGGTTCAAGATTAGTATCTCATATTCTCAAGCTTGGAGAGCCAAATGTTATGCCTTGGAATTGTTGAGGGGGTCGCCAGAAGCATCGTTTGCCCAACTGCCGGCTTATTGTCACAATTTAAAGCTGAAAAATCCTGGGTCAGTAACTCATATCAAAACAGATAGAGATGGACGCTTTGAGTTGCTGTTTATCGCCATTGGTGTTGCGGTTAGTAAATCAATATAATTTTGTTGACTCATTTTTGTTAGTTACATGCATTTCACATTTAAATGATTATATTTCTTGTGTATATGATTTTGTAGATTCGTTCGTTTATTAATTGCATGCGCCCAGTTATTATAGTTGACGGAGCACATTTAAAAGGTCGATACTTTGGAGTAAACTTATTAGCAGTAGCCATGGATGCTAACAATGGGATACTGCCAATAGCTTACAGGGTTGGCAAATCTGAAACCTCTGATTCATGGACATGGTTTATGGGGCATCTTAGGGATTGCATAAGTCCTATTAGCAATCTGGAAATCATATCTGATAGGGCAAACTCAATTGAAAACGCTGTTAGAAGGTGTTTCCCATATGCTTTTCATGGATTTTTGTGGTGTTCATTTGTATAGAAATCTAAATCAAGGTCTGTTGGTATAAAAAATCACAAATGGACATACTGAAAGGCTGTAAAAGCTTATCGGGAAGTGGATTTTAATAAGCATATAAACTGTTTAAGACGTGTTTTGCCTCAGTGTGCTCAAACACTAGAAAATGTCGGGTTTGAAAGATGGTCAAGAGTACATCAACTTGGAGCAAGATATGGTTTCATGACGTCTAATAGTGCAGAATCAATCAACGCTCTAAGTCGTTATTCCCGGAAATTACCCATTACTATGTTAATGGAGTTTTTTCGAGTCTCTATTCTACAATGGTACTACAAGAAAAGAAACCATACAGGTATTATTTCTTTAAATTCGTAACTTATCATATATTTTACTAAGTATTATTTATTTAAATTTACAGGAACATTGGAACATCGTGTTATACCATGGACAGAAAAAAAGATAACGAAACGTGTTGTGAAGTCAATGTCATGGAGAGTTGAACCATGTTCAAACACTTTGTTTGAAGTACTGGATAATAACTTAAATGGGCTTGTCGATCTAAATGCAAAGACGTGTAGTTGTATGAAATGACAAACATCTGGTTATCCGTGTGGCCATGTTATAAAAGTTTCTCTTCATCTAAACCAAGATGATTCAAGCGCATACGCTATGGATTGCTACACTACAGAAGTATATCGACAGACTTATGGCGAGATTGTCTACCCTATTCCACATCCTTATGAGTGGGACATACCAGATGACTTACAAACAGTTTTGCCACCAGTTATGGACAGAAGGCTACCTGGCCGACCAAAAAGTCACGATCGTATATCGTCTAAGGGTGAAGAGAAGAAGAGATCGACATGTAGTCGGTGCAAGGAAAGTGGTCATACAAGGTTGACATGTGGATCACCAGTGCCATCACAATCATCTTTTCCTCTACCAAAATATGGATCCTCATCAAAATCCCAATCACAACCTGCTTCACCTTTTGAGACTATTAACTTAGGTGATTTTTAAATGCAAACGTTGTATTATGTGTATATTATGTGTGAACTTTTAACATTTTCAGTTAGGCATGTATTAGTAACTTGAGTTTGAACATTGCTATGATATGTTCAGTTGTTATCACTTATTATACATTCATTTGACTATCGCAACGCGGAAATCGCAACGTGAATATGACTATCGCAACACGGAAATGACTATCGCAATGCGGAATTGACTATCGCAACACGGAAATGACTATCGCAACGAGAGAATCGCAATGCGAAATGAAAATCGCAATGCGAAATGAAAATCGCAATGCGAAATGAAAATCGCAACGAGTGAATCGCAATGCGAAAATGAAAATCACAACGCGAAATTAGTTTCGCGTTGCGATTTTCATTTTCGCATTGCGATTCACTCG